TATATATATATATATATATATATATATATATATATATATATAAAACCAATAGTGTGTACCTTTTTTTTCCTTCTACCCCTGTCTGGTTAAGTCAGTTTTACAGGAAAAGCACCAAATTCTGCATCGATAGGATTGCCTTGCTTAAGGCGGCAGTATTATTTTCCCCAAATGGCTTTTGTAACTAAACAGAAGACAATAGGAAATTAAAATACTAAATGTACAAGAAGAGGGTGTTACGTTATACAAAAGGAAATTAAAAAAAAAAAAATTCTGCCACTCAAAAGGCACCACAGCCAACACTGCTGGAAGAAGATGGAAGGCTTCACCATGTCTGCGTGTGGATGGAGGCAGCACTGACCTAGTTTTGAGCCGTTACACAACATCTGGTAAAAGACTCCTTGTGATGGCTCCAATACTCAGCTCCTCCACATGGCAGGCTCCACCACACCACTTACTGCCTTGATCCCTCCTTATTTCCCATTTAAAGCTCTGGCAGGAAAGCCACACCCTCAACTCACTAGATGGTTCTTTTAGCAACTTCCAACTTAATCACAGATGAAATTAAAACATTCCAATGACTATGACTAAATGTCCCTTTATTAACAGAAAATGGCACCGATAAAGACCACTTTAAGAATGCCATGTGACTAGATGGCTCCTGAAGTAGTTGCCATGTGATCTCAAAGCTCTGTGTCCAAATACTAGGTTGAGAGTGAGGACAACAGTTACTATCTAATAGCTGACCAAGCGAATAGGCATAATACAGCCAGGCTAGCTGGAGCTGCCAGTGTGGACGCATGGGCTTAGCCCCAGCAACCACTCAACAAAGAAATGAAAACAATAGCCTGAAATGGAAAAACTGAGACTGTTCACAACTTTGTCACAGAGGATAACTCTGAATGCATTTCCTCTCACCATTATTCCATCTGATTAGACAGGCACAAAAGTGCAGGTCGGAGGCAGAACAATCAATGCTTGTTAGACAGCCCTCCAGCGGTAAAGAGAGGCACTGACAAATATCTCACACAGTGGAAATTTACTGCTTAAACATTAACATTACGAGTTCTCTGGCGACTTTACGGGATCCCAGCGCTACGAAGTTTGAAAAGAAAACCTCATCATTTCAGTAGGTGGAGAGTAATAATAAATAAGATGCTAAATGTTTTACAAAGAAAAACAGTCGTTCCGCCCAATCAAAAACAACTCGTTTATACGCCCCTTAATATGGTGGCCAGTAACCATTTGCATAAGAAGTTCTATTCACATGTATGAAGCATCCATTGGGGATGATGAAGGAGGATATTAAACTAGACGTTTACGATTTGATCTATATTTGCCTGGAATTTTTCCACGTGGTTGCCAGTCGGATTAGGATCACAATAGGTCAAACGCTGGTAAAATTATGGCCAACTAAAGAGAGAAGCCCCATATCCACTCCGGCACGTTCAAGGAGCCCAGAATCGTTGTCTGCAAGGCTTCCATTTTTCCACAATCAGTAACGATTGACAGTACTGCTCTAAAAAAAATGTAAAAAATGTGGAGGTAATAAAGGACAGCATGTACCCTTTTAACTCTCGCAATCCTACCATCCCCCAGAGAGCATGCTATTCCATGTTCTCGTATTTGCTGCAACACACACAAATGTCCCAGCCTCTTCCCCTAATTCAGGTTATTCTTCCAGGGCCGTGATGTCTGGCGTCGAGCCAGAAGTCAGCCAGTCTGTGCCCGCCATCTCAGAAACTGGGTCAGGAACGGGTGTCCCCCACCAATATATCCGATTAAGCTGACTCGACTTTGGCTCAGATTCCAAATGCGGGCAATACACATGATTTTTTTTTTACCCTCACGGGCGTTTACAAGCAACCGGTGATGGATGTGAGGCTCCACGGTGCTAGCTCTCTTTGCTAGCCAACCTGCTGCTCATACGGAGGATGAGGAGCCAGACACACCGGATTAATTCAATTAACGGAATCACGGCGAGTTTATCTGAACAGCAATTTGAACTCGGAATAGTAGATAATATCATCTTTACAAACGCTAGCCCAACGTTCCACGACAGTCGTCCGTTATGCGGAAAGCGGCGGTTTATGTCAGATTTTCCGCGCCTCTTTACATCGGAGCCATTTCCAGGAGCTTCCTCTCAAGCAGAGATTTGAAGAAAAATTAACATGTCACGGAAATAGCCACACTGATATTCATAAGCCATTCGACCTGTCTCAATGATGTTAACGATCAATGATCCAACCAAGCCGTAAAGCATTATCAATTCCGCCTAAAAAGACAAAGAAATGTATCTTACCTGAGGCGTTTGACAACAGACGATATTAGACATATTTAAAGCGAATTCAGAGTTGGTCGGTTCGGATTAAGGAAAAGACGCAACGCGACGACAGGCACTGCTTATGGTGTTTGCGGTTGGTGTCGGTTCTGGTTCTCTACAAGAGGCACGTCTACTCTCCGTCCAGTCCGGGCTAGCACTGACGAAATCCCTGTGGAGCGGAAGCGCGCCCCCGAGAAAGTCTGTGCCAGCGCCACGCCGCCTCTGACGTCATGGGTGGGGGGCGGTCCTCCAACGTCTGTAAGGCCCATTCTGGGTCACGTGGTTCGTCTCCATGAGAGAGGTTTAATAAACGTGTATTGATTGGTAATGTTAAAAAATGGAATACAGATTAAAAAACACATTTACCACACACACACATACATATACAAATACATATATAGTGTCCAAAATATTCAAAATCTTTCTAAATGTTTCAATCTGTCACAGTGTTAAAGTGTCATATAAATGTTTAGAACTTTTTTTTTTTTTTACTTAACCCACGTGAATAATACTTGTTACATATTATCAGGAGCACATTGACAAAGCACTCCCAGGTTTCAATGTGACAATAATTTCTTACGTGCTACAAAAACCAGAGTTCATAATGACACACATGTTATTTTTATCCTACAAACTAATCGCAAAGAACTAAAGGTTACTTTAATCTTTTCTAACATATGAGGTCTCTGTCTAACATTTATACATAACATTTATATTTATACATAACAACTCAGTTAATTTTTTCATTCAGGTTAATATTTGCTCCACCACCGTCAACTATAAAGCTCTTGTGACTTCATGGTTCATTGAAGCAACATTTTTTAAACACCTAAGCAGGGCAGACAAATAGTAAGTCCCCCTCCATCCTGGTCAAACTTAGGGAAAGTGTTGTCCCCGAGCTTTGCTTGCTAAATTTATTTCAAGTCATGCCCTTTGTTTTTCCAATATATAAACCTCTCTTCACCGTCTTCTGTTTCACCGCCCGACTTTGCTGACCATTAGTATGTACCCTCTGGGCACCTTAACAGCAGAATGGTGCGAGTACCACTGCGTAAGTCATTTGATGTCAATCAACAGAGAACATCCAGACTAAAGCCTCTCTGCGTCACTGTGGGAAGCCAAACCCATTCATATTCCTTGACTGGACACAGCTTAATACTACCTTGGTACATCAGTAATCAGATTAGATTATAAGAATCACTTTAATGCCTTTGTGTCAGTCAAGCTTTGTATGTAGATGGTGAATGTGTGTGAGTATTTCTCCAGATGAAAATCTGTTTGTGAAATGGCACAAAAAATAATACAGTTTAGCAAACCACAGTGTCAACAACCTTATCCAGAGGTCCACTTAACAAAGATTAAGTTTATCAGCATAAAGCAGTATTTTCATAGCAGCTGTTGCAGTGCTTTTTTACCACTGCAAATTGTGCTTCCAACTTGAAGCGATAGCAAGGTGAAATAACTTGCTGCTGGTTTATGGTTTAATAAATGCCTGCTTGCCAAAGCTGGAGACATGCATCATGTTTTACCTCTCTAGGACTTTAAGACCTTCATGCACAGCCATCCCAAAGAACCAACCAGTTCAGTTGAGATTAACATGGATGGATGCATGAAATAAGCCAGTACATTCCAGTAATTTCACTGTGCACCGTCTTTGAGATGATCGATTGTATTTTTTTGTGTTTTAAAAAACCCACAGCGAGAATAATGATGAAAAAATCTGCAGCTCTGAATATCAGCAATAGCTTTTTTGTTCTCAAGAGACAGGTTAAGGTTTTCATTTATCAGCATTCCCAGGACCTGTAAAAGTGAATGAAAGACCTTTGCAAAGACAGCCTATTTCCTAAAAAAAAAAGAAGCATCTGGAGACTCAGACTTTGTAATTACAAATGAACCAGTTCAGCATTAGACATTTTCTGCTGATCTGGCTTCAGAGTCAGATCAGTTAAAGGAATATCTGTAGTAATTTGCTGTATAAATTGGGAAGGCTTTTAAAAAAATCTATATATTTCTAAGGGAAAAAGTCCTCATGAATAACTGAAAAATATTACCTCTCTTAGAACTGTATAACATAAGACCCAATATTATTGTAGATTGCTGCATGCATGTTATGATATATTACACATTCCTAAGGGGCAGGAATAACAGAGTATGAAGACATGAAAAATAGTCTGACTCTTGTGTCTGACAATAGTGTTATTTGAGTGCCTGGAACTAAAAACTGAAAGGACACCGCCCTTATAACGCTGAGTCATCTTGCAGACTTTGCCATCTCCACATTCTACTGAGAATTGCTCAGCGAAGCTACACAAATATATTCTGACAAGGACACTATAAATATTTTAGGTATCTGGGTCCAGCAGTTGCACGTGCGGCTCTATGTAGGTTTGAGACGAGATGGAGATATCTGTCTATATATAAATAAAGATTCTGTGTCATAGTGCACTGTTAGAAAACTTTTTATCTGTAAATAGAGTCAAAACTATTTAAATTTGCTGATATCTGTCTTCATTTTTGTCAACTTTGGTTAACTTAGCTAGAGTATTTAGATGCTATCAATTCCTTCCCATGACAACAGTGATATGTGATTTTCTGACACTGTTCTTATAAACAGTGAAAATCACTGTCAACTCTTTCAAACCGACCAGTAAGGCTTAAAAAAGAGATATTTTTTAGGGGGGGCACATGAAAGGCAAGGCATGTTGAGTCCTCCTATATCACATTTAAAAGAGCCAGATTTCACGGTTTGTTTGTTATTTCTAAGGAATCCAGCCTGTAATTTTTGTTTTCTACACATGTTCATGACTTTTTTTTCTTTCTTTTTCTTTAACATGTAAACTTACATTAACCAGTGTTTTTATGTAGTAAAATTAAGTTATACATGTAATTTGCATGGTTCCCAACATTTTGATAATACGATTTTAAAAAGTTGGGCTTTACCAGGCTGTTTATGGTCCACATACTTCTGCAACTAAAAACATTTAGAGCTTTTATTGGTGATGAGCTCCCAGAATCAGATAAAAGTGGAACAATATTCCTCTATCAGAGTCCCAACTACTGTTAAGTAACAGTTTATTAATGAAATACGGGATGGTTTATAGTGGAAAGAGTTGCCTGAATTGTTTATGCCATCAACAGAACAATCAGAACAATCTAATAATTTTCATGATACTTTAAAAAATTTTTTTTTTTTCTATTCTGTTGTTAGTAACACACTGGTTACATAACAACATGAAAACAGGCATAGAGACCACCTACGAACAATTATGGTATTAAAATCTCTCACTCATTTTTTTTAAACATGTGAAAACTAAGACATGGAAAAAATTACAGCCACAAAATCCCAAACCTGCATCATTGGCCTTCACCTATGAACCTTTGGAGCTTATCATATGGGCTGAGGAAACACTCCAGGTTCATCAGGGTCAGCCTATAGTGCTTGTCATTTCTAACATTCCACACCAATATCTTCACATAATATCAAAAAAGGCTCTCATTGAGCTTTTTGTCACTGTCATGTTTTGTAAAACAACAGAAATGATCATTAATGTGTGGATGGAGAGATACAGCTTACATCTTAAGCATGACACTATAATTAAAACAAAAGTGTAGGCTCACGGTCATCTAACACCCAAATCATTTCCTCCAAACTGGGCCAGGTCTGTCTTTAGTGACAGCAGGGGAAAGAGTCAGAAACGTGTCACAAAGAATCTGTCTGTTTGTTCCAAGGAAGTAAACAAAAACGTTCAAGCTTGTGCATTGTACTAAAAAGAATTTCTCTTCAGTCTCTCTGCCTACTTTGGTCTGCCCAGCACTTGGGAAGTGGGTCAGTGTATTGAGAACAAAAATACACACCCACACACAGAGTGAAGCACACAAACTGGGTTTTGTTGGACTATAAACTGCACTGCAAGTTGAACTTTTCCACTATGTGGTACATCAGTCTCTTAAACATTTCTGTATCCAATGCAATTGTAGTAGAAATCCATACAATGATCTGCTTATACTAAGATGACATACTTTTTCATAATGCTTTCAGAATTCCTTCAAACTTTGATGAATGATACAGAGTCACGAGGAACACAATCGGCAACCCAACCGGGAACAGGTCGGTTTCCCAGGATATGTCTGCCATTTCCTCAGGAAAGCAAACTGTTTCTGTTCCACACAATTAAAAAATACCAAGGGGAAGCAGGATTTGGCTATGAGGGCAGCGTCACACCAAATCAGACCAACTCACTTCCCAGAGTAGACAGACCCGGCACCTGTACTGAAAACATACACAAGCGGATGCTAAAACTTAAATGAAAATAAATATTCTTCTGACTGTTTGGAGCTTAGATCATTACCTCTTCAGAATATGTTTTATAGAGGGAGCTCATTAGTTCGCAACACCCTTTTGGGGATTTGTACAATGATACATATCATCACACCCATGGTAACGGTAATTATTTTTGAGGTCATGGTGATAAAAGATTATCAATCAGATGATCAATCAGGGTTCTACTGGACTAACCACCTTGTCAGTACCAAAAGTTTATTATAATTATTCTTTTAATATGTATGCATTCCTGAATAATGAATGATTATGATGACAGACTATACAGACGCAATAAAAGCTGGACTGCACCGCTCAAACAGTTAATCATTATTCTGTTCACACTTAGAATTGTGAAAACGTGAACTTTTAACTGTTAAAGTCAGTTAAACTGCAACAAATGGGGCTTAAAAAAGCCTGGCTGGCCGATGGTGCAACAGGAACTCAGTGTTTGCCTAAACTTTAAAAACGCCGATGCACATAAAACTTTGCTAATATCGTAGGTCAAACGTTGATAAGCAGAGGTTGTGGGCGATTTCTTTTGAGGACATGCATGTGAGCAAACAAAAGAGAGCACATCTGGTGAACTTTGCATTCTTGCACACACACACACACACACACACACACACACACACACACACACACAGCAGCTGCTGGTCATCTATATTAGCGTTTTTGTAAAAGTTGAACTTTTTACTAGAGTAGGTCATACGTCATTTTGACCATAGTCACTTTCCGTGCAGATATTGCCACAGTCACTGGCACATCTTACCAGTGCCAAGTATCAGTACTTTTTTAAATACTTACAATAGTGGCTTAAGTGCTGTTGACTAAACTGAATTTTATAATGTAATTGCACTCATAAAAGTGATGTTA